CACTGATTCTCTGTTGATCGGAAGCGGAAGCGTGTTTAAACATGTTCGCCCCTGAACAGGCCAGAAAAGTGGACCTTCGACCGACTCTTCTTCTTCTCATGCAGCCGACTCAGCTCCTTTCAAAAAAGGTTTCGATCACAACCAAGCCTTGATGTTGCCCCAGACAAAAATGCATAAAAGTACGCCCGGGAAAATTCACGTGGAATCTCAAAACCACTGGGTTGGAAAGGAAAATCGTCTTCCAAGGGTCCATGCCATCAGGTTCCATGTTAATATTTCCCAGGTGTATATACATAACTTCAAGTCTTTGGGGCCGTCAACAGCAGTGTGATAGCAGTGTGACTACTGTACTTTGATCAGTTTTGGCCGTTCGGTGTTTGGCCTGGCCCCGACACATGGAACGACAGACGTCCTGAGCCATGGAACGATCTCAGGACTTCACAAGGACATCGCTGAGGACCGGACATCATCCCAAGCCTCTTCGAGGGACCGCTGCTCCTCTTCACTGGAGACCACCTGACCGACTTCCCCCCCTTCCCCCGCGCGCATTCTGCGGTCCCTGTCTTTCAGTCCAGTGGTGCAGGATGCATGGTTGGTGGACCACATCTTTCAACTCGACTTGTGATACATCCTCAACCCATCTGGATAATCAAAAATTAATAAGCTCTCGAGTGGCGTCTGAGATTTCCTCCTTTCTTCCGGAGTAGGACAGGGCTCCCAAGACCCTTTTTGTGCTTGTACTGTCTGTGATGGGTACGAAGTGTCCGACTCGTGTCCGAACCATCACGGCCCTCGCTTCATCCTCGTCCAGCAACCCTTCGCTGCTTTCGCCTGGCGCTGCTTTCGCAGCGGGATGTCCTCCAAGAGCGCTTCCGCCTCAAAGAGCTGCCGCTTTTTGGGGGTTTCACGCTTGGTCCAGTGGTGCTCGGTCCGGTGTCACCAGGAAGACGCCAAAAATGACAGGGGTGTCTTACTGATTAGTTGGATGAAAAAGCCCGGTCCTTTTTGTCCAGGTGTTCCAATCTCTTAAATGACAGGTCTTTGGACCAGTCAGTGGATGGAATGCCTTTTTGAAGAAACCCAAAACCCACTACAGGATTCACGGACGAAAACGTTGACCACCGGAAAACATGCTTGGTTGCAGTCGTATCTACATAATACTACTAAGACTGATACTAAAAAAAAACACATGTGTCATTTAGATGTTCATTGGGACTTGTTTCTACTGGAGGATCACTGCAAGCATGGCCTACGTCCCGAGAGTGTAGGAAGAACGCAATTCAAGCCGGCTGAGCCCCACATGGTTCATACATCATAGATCGTTTTGCCGATTGAAAAAACACAAACACCGGGTTGTAGAACTATACCATGCTATACACCCATCAACCGGAGGAAAAACCGACCAGCGAAGGAACTCCCGTTTTGCTTCGCCCAAAACACACGCATCGTTTGGACTGGGAGGCCCCCATCCCTTAGGACCCACCGATGTTCGCATCTGCTCCACCTCCACCACTCCATTAGTAGCTTCTTGTTCCTAGTAGTAAGGCCAGGGGCCAGGAGTCCCTAGTAGCTTCTTGTTACTACTAGTAAGGCACTTGTTACTAGAAGCGATGCACTTGTTACTAGTAGCTTCTTGTTCCTAGTACTAAGGCCAGGAGCCCCGTTCGTAGCCTCCGATCGCTCCGTTCGAGTCGCGATGCCCTGTTTGCTCCGTTCGTAGCGAACGCTTGCTCTCCGTTCTGAGCTCCCAGCGATCTCCCTGACATTCCTGCGCTCCACGGCCGCTTTCCCCTGTCCAGCAGGCACGCGCTTGTGCTCCCACGACGACCATGACCCGTGACGCCGGCACAATGGCATCTGATGGTGCCAGGGCTGTAGCCAATTGTGCCAGGACACATCCCGCCAATCCTTGATCTGGCACGACTCTTGCTTGTGACTTAGTGGGAAAAAGGCTGTGAAAACATGCCGACATGGCCACTATGCGCACTGCGCACTGCCTCCATGTCGAAGGTGAGCCCATGCAAACATCTCAAGGAGGCTTCCAAAAGCCGAGGCGCCTCCGCCGAGTTTTCGGGGCACGGCACCCGGTGGACGGCACCCGGTGGACGCTGCATTACCTAAGGGGCATGTTCCTTTCATCTTTCCATCCACACAGAGAAAATCAAAGAAGCTGGAGGATGAGGGATACCACAAGGATTGATCAAGCTTCGTTCCTCATCCAAAAGTCTACCAAGGCACCACACCGCAATGACCCATACACATCACATTCAAAAGTCTCACTGAGATCGTCCGTCTTCCATCCCGAATCTCAAAGATCTTCATCTGCCCAAACTATAACTCAGCGGCCTGGCATGGCACTTCAGCACATCTTGCCAGCACATCCACACCTGCAACAACTGTGAAGATCGAAACTGATTGAGCACAATCCTTTCTAGGTAAAAGTTCCTTCCAGGCTTCCGGCTTCCCCATGCGCACCCCGCGCACACCGCACGCTTTTTAGTGGGTCAGCAGGAAAACCGACTGCTAAAGGAAGAGTTCTCCACTCACAAACGCTAGGACCTCAATACCAGGGTTATTGAAGGCTGCCGGAGGCGAATGGGCACTCTTCGCCAAAGGCACTAGATTTCGTGAATGTCCATGCAGTGATGAAAAGCACCAAGAGTCTTGCCATGAAATCAAAACACTTGGGGTGGAGAAACCGCCATCGCGGTCGGCAGCAATCAGTAAAAAGGCATCTCAGACAATAGGGACACTCCTACTGTATTTCAGACGGTCGCTTTGCTTACTCGCTTGGAAAGTCGGTTATCCTGGTAGGGACACTCCTGGATAGGAGCCAACATCCCCACTTCCTGGGTCTTCTCAACCAGAACGACTTTCTTTGCACCATGTAACTCCATCTCTTCACTTCATGAAGAGGAGCTTCCAAACCTCCGTTTTTCCCGACTTGTTCACCAATCAATCCAGGATATCCAGGATTGCTGGATCTACCAGGCCCTCAAACACCAGGATTCTTCAGAATCACCACATATCATATCAATTCATATCACCAAAAAAAAAAAAACAACAAAATAACACGGGCCATCCTCCTGGGTTTCTTGTTGCCACTACTTCTACTATATACCCTCTCTCCAACCATCAAAGTGGCCAAACGGCCGTTGCTCTGTCTTCCCGCGAAGCCGCCCTCCCACACTCGCACTCCACGCCCTCTGCTCTTGCGCCCTGGGTCCGATCCGGGCGGAGGCCTCCAGCCACACATAGCTCACGAGGCACCGTGCGAGAGAGCCTGACGCCCGTGCTTCGTGGCGCGAGAGGCTCGAGACGCCTCCCGTTTGGGGGGGAGTCTAAACCTCTGCGCGAGAGAAGAGACTTAGGTAAAAACAAACGAAAGAAATGCACAAAAATGTGTTGCCCATTGTCCTGCTTGCACTTGCCTAGGTTGTTTTAAAAGATCCTTCCCATGTTCAGTTCACTCACCTGGATGGTCCCAAGGTCGATGTCTGTAGACTCTGAGGGAGATGACCTGGGTCGTACCAGTACCCTCTGCCGTCTCGGCTCCGCTCGGCTCCGTTCGGCTCCCGCGCTTCTCGAGCACTCGCAAGGCCGCCAAGGCGGTGCCGCTGCCGTGCCGCCTGCGCAGAACCGAAGAAACGAAGGTGTTCTGAGCACCAGGGATGTTTGGATTGTTTGGATTGTAGGTTTAAATGAGTTGAAATCGGTGTCAAGGATCTTAGGCCAAGTCTCACCGAAAAGGATCTTGTTCCGGTCTGTCAACCTACCAGGGCTACCCATGTCGGTGTCACGGTGGAGTCACGGAGCTCACAACAGGGATGTTGTCTTGTGAGAGGTAGAAGAAATGGCCGGATCCACGCCAAACATTGTCAATGTGAAAGTTTCTCTAAGCTCAGCTGGTGCGTGCGTCCTGTTTGGCAAGGCGGCCGGCGCATCGTCGGCATTTCTGAGCATGGACAAGCTGAAACAGCTGGACGTGGCTCTGCACATCTCAGTTTCAGCCCTAAGCAGTGCATCCTGAAATGCAAAGAGTCCTTGGCTCATCTCTGTACAAGGGTGTTTCCTTGCTATTCTCTATTCTGTACAAGGATAGCATAAAAGAAAATAAAGAAGCATGATTTTTTTGAGTTTGACTTTGCTCACTCAAGGACTATCCAGATCTCTCAAACCACAAAGTTTGCCATGCTCCTGCTTGCCCTCCTCTCCTGTTGCTCCAAGAAAGCTTTTCGAGCTGCATATGAGCACGACTCCACATCCACATCATCCACTTCCACTGCTTTGCTGGGTGCGTTGAGAGCGGGACGATGTCCCAGAAGCATGGGGAGGATTTGTTTCATTGGTGGTTGCGGCACCGGCGCATCTCTCTGTTCCTTCCTTGAAAGACGAGCCAGCACGGCATCTCGCGTGGCCGATGCAGCTGCTGCAGCATTGGCGGGAGAACTTCGAGTCTCCTCAGCCGGTCGCAATCGACCGCCCAGAAGGCGTGAGAAATTCCCCACCAACGTTGGTGCACTCTCTTCAAAATGTACTGAGCGCTGGTGAGTGGACCTCTTGCTGCGCTTTTCCACTTCCTCTGGAAAGAAGTTCAGGCCACGCTTCGGGCTCAAACCGGAAGGGCTCATGGGTGGGCTCATGGGCAGGCTCATCGGCGTCTTAGGGCTCATGGGCGTCTTCGGCGTGCGCACGGCCTTCGGTGAGGCCCCCGCAACAATGCTCTCGAAGGTATGGGAAGCCTTCGCCAAAAATCGCATGGAGACCGCCATAGCCTTGTTGCAAGCTGGGTCAAGTACTGTGTCTACTGCTTCTTGCTTGAGATCTTGGGCGGTGTTCATAGATGTCTTTACAAAAGTCTTCCAGCAACACATTGCTTGCGTCAGTCATCTACTCTAGGCAGAAGGGGAAGAACGCCTGTCAGAAACAGCCATCTTCCTTTTACTTCGTTCCTACAACCTCTCCATACCCTTTGAGCATGCCTAAAAGCCACTTGCAGTTCAGAGCTCAGTGCTGCCCCAGTTTTCCGCATCCCCCCAGCGCTCGTCAAAAGCGCTTCGACCGGTCGTCTTGCGCCTCAACACGGCCAGCAAAGCTTCAACGCCCTGAGCGTCTCGACCGCGTCCCGACCGCGTGGAGGTGGATGGAGTCCAACACGCCAAAACACACCTCAAAACAATGTGCACAAACAGAATCCCCTAAGAGAAAGTCTTTTCTCTTCTTCCCCCCCCACGGGGCCACGGGGAAGGGTTTTTTTGCACTCATCCGGGCTGTGCAGCGAGTACCAAAGACTGTTTCACAGCGGAGTGCAGGGTTGTCCACTTGCTTTGGTCAGTCACGTTGGATAGAAGCAACATGAAGCATCCCGAAGGCGCGTGCCACGGCGCCGAACTTGACACACATCGATCACGGACGTGTCGGAAGGAATCCTCTGGCTATCCAATTGGTCTTGAGAGGCGTTTCGGGGTGGTCAGCACAGGCTGCCTGTGTCGGCGTGACGTGTGTGTCGACGACCGGTGTCACTGACTCAACCTCCGGCACCTGGAACTGGAACTCGTGTCAAGTCCCTTTGTGGGGGAGGAGCACTGGGGGAGCACTGGGAGCACTTTCCAGTGCTTCTTTTGGGAGAAAAATAGACGGGAAACCCACGCCTTGAGTTCCGCAAACTCGTAGTGCACCGCTAAGCGCTCCTAGCGGACGGGCGGAAAGGCGGAGAAGACGGGTCGAAGAAGACGGGTTGGTATTTGACTGCCAGGATGGGGACCTCCTAACCAATGGATTTGGTCTGTTCTTGATTTACCCAGAGGTCTTTGAGGGGTCTGGCTTTTCGAATACACACCCACCTGAAAGTCTAGCATTCTGGGATTCCCCGCTCGCATGCAGCGGGACATGTAGATATCGGTCCTCTGAGTCTTAGTAAGTCTGTTAAACAGATCCGTTCTTCGGCAGGCGTCTTTTGCTCACGGCCTGGTTGGTAGATCATGCCCTTTTCCAATCAGTAGACTAGTCTGCCTTGAAGTTTCCAAGAAATGTTGTGCGAACGTAGACCACCACCTGGACCAGCAAAGCTGCGGATGGCGTAACTTCACATGACGGATGGCTTAGGCCGGAAGCCTCCCAAGCCCCGAATGTTGCAGAGAAAGGCACGACTTGTGCGATACAGCACTTGTGATAGATGATGGTGCGATGCAGCACTTTGTCAAGGAGGTCCAGCAGCGGTTGTATTGATGAGAATCTTAAAAGGTAGAGCATCGGTCAAGCCTTGAACCACGTCCAGCATGCAGATGTGTCCAAGTCAGCTGGCTCAAGCGCACTTGCTCTTGCAGCAAGGGGGAGCACTGCATGAGATCAAGCTGGTTAGGTAGGGACCAACTGTGATCACTCTTGGACTGTCCATCATCCCTTAACAAACCGTGCCCAAACCAGTGATAAAAGCTTGCTTTTGCTAAATATTACGGCAAGAAACGTGACGAACCCCCCTCTAATTATCACTGCAAAGGTCCTCCCATAAAGATGGAAACCTGAGGGGGGCCACTCCAAAACACTCACTCTTGAATCACCCTTTCGGAAATCCCAGTCCCCACCCATGGGCTCCTTCGCCCCCGGCTCGCCCCCGGCTCGCCCGGTGGGGACCGAACTCCCGGAGCCCCATCCGCCCCGTCTTCCGCCCGCCTTGTCATAGAGCAGCGCTAGTAGCCTGCGGATCTTCGGCCGAAGGCGGAGCTGAGTTCTCGTCTTGGTCCCTCGCAGTTTGGTAAAGGGGGCGAACGACGGGAGCAGGTAGTAGTGACAGTAGTCCAGCTCATGGTGAAGTTCAAACGGTTCGAACGTCCAGAGCTGTTCAGCCCACCGACCTGTCAAATTCTTGAACGAATTGGTGTAAGATATGCGCGCGGACGTGGGAATTGTAGCCGTTCAGTCACAAACGTCATGAAAAGCCCAACTGAACGGTGGTTACAACTCACTTTGCTCATACCTCAAGGATAGGCAGTCATGAGTTGGATTGATGATGTTACTCAACCAATCTTGACGGGAAGAAATGGGGCGGGCAGCCTCCAGCCTGCTTCTTAAACCGAAGGTACCTGCGTCAGGTCAATGACTTATTGTATTTATATACAGTATATAACCTAGAACCTACCTGAGTGACCTCTATTTTGGACCGCAACCACCCAAAATATGGTCCAACTTCCAATCAAAGCAGAGCCGTAGGTAGAAATGGTTCTCCCATAAAGGTCCGAAAGGACGCAAAAGGACCTCCTCTGGCTCCACCCTGCAACTTCCAGTTGTGTTAAACAAGCGAGGCTGGCTTCATGGTGTTTCACCTGAGACGCATATGGTCAGGGGATGAAATTTGTCGCCGAACATGGCGCGCCAATCTGCAGATTGGAAGAATGACCTGAAACAAGGATCCTAACGCGCCTGTGTAGGAACTCATTCCATCCTGATTGATCTGACTCTGACTCATTCCTCTTGGCCTGTTTGGTCAGACCGAGCACCACCAGGTCGGGCACCAACAGGTCGGTGGTCGGGTCCCGACTCCGCTTCGAGACTTAGGAGTCCGGAGGACTCCCGGCTCGCTGTGGTGACTTGGCATGGTCCAAATGCTTCATGTACACAAAGGGAAAGAGACCCACATGAACAACTACAACTACAACAACTCACAACTCAAAACCGCTGGTTGTAGTAGGAGTTGTGAGTTGTGAGTTGTACTTGAAAACCACTCGTTTTGTAGAGGAAAGTCGTCTTCCAACAGGTCCATGCCATCAGGTTCCATGTGGGTCTCTTCCCGGGTGTAGATCCTCAAATGCTCGGACCCAGGGGTTTCAGCCGGGTGAGACCCGGCCCAGCCCCCCTTTGTTCACAGGTCCCCACACCCATGGCAAATGCGCTGCACATGCTCCGCGCTGCCAGCATTGATCGTCAAGGCCGACAAAGCACTGCCTGGAGAGATCTTGGACCTATGTTCTGCCAAAGACAGCATTTGTTCTCCAGATCCCATCGCCTCTTGCAGTGCTTGTTTCTGGTTCGAGGTGAAAAAAGGCCCTGCTGTTACCGAAACATCCGTTAGGATTCTGGTGGATGAAAACACCCTTCGACCTACGACCTGCAATGTAGGGCCATACTGGGCCACCAAAGCAAAAAAGATGTTCAACCAAAGCTGGGCCTCCAAAAAGGTGAATCAATAGGAGGCTGGGACCCTGGGGTCTACAACCAACAGCTGGCTGAAGGCCTGTGGTGAAGCGACTTTGCCTGGGCGATCTTTTCAAAGTAAACAAGAATAAGATGCGTCTTTCCAACATAGAAATACAGCTAGGATCTGCTCAAACCACCGATCTGACTTCCACTTTCAACAGAACCCTTTCTTAAACAAGCACATAAGTTTCCTTCTAAGGATGTTTAGAACCAAGCAGTCCAAAAGGATCCAAAAGGTATTCAAACTGGAATTGGATGGTCCATCTACATCCAGCTACTGCGGGGAGAACGAACTCCAAACCTGTAAGAACGAACTCCGAGCCCCAAAGCCTTTTCCCCCGCGCACGGCGCACGGCGAGCGCTGGGCGCCTACAGTGGCCTCGCCCGGGCCGGCGCTAATTAAGCCGCCCTGCACCGCAGCTACAGCCACCTCGAGAACCGTGGGCGGTCGATGGCCTTCGAGTTGCTGTTCTTGCAACATGGTTATATAGGTCCAATGGGACATGTGGAAGTGTGCGGTAGGAACCCATTTACATCCATCAACATCACCCAAGTTGATGTTAGTGGCATACTTGGGGGGGTACTGTAGATGGGAGATTCTAAGCCAAGAGCCTGCACCAGCTTGATTTCTTATAAGTAAAGGTACCCTTTTCATCACTCACGGCCACGCTCCTGTGAAGCCAGAAGTTTTGCAACTTGGGATGCACAACATAAGCCCACATAATAAGGTGATGCCTTTGGCCACAAAGCATGATGATCTTCAAATCCTGAACACCCATGTTTTCTCTGTTCTTACAACAAAATACTATTGGTGCAGAAGCTTCCAAACTGATGATACGGGTGTCAGGGAGCAAATGATGCCACCCCGCAAAGATTGGGCTCAAACACAGCGCAGGCGTCGACACAGGGATGCAGGAGGTTCGCTCCCACTGCTGTACCGCTTCCCTCGTCCCAGACCACCCCTTCGCCGTATGGTGCACCCAACGGGGCTTGGTGCGTACCAATATTCCCTCCAAAACACTGTGAGACCGACCCAACAAGTAGCCTCCATGCTGCCAAACCAATGACCCCCCTCCGAAAGCCTGGCCCGCCCGCCCGAAAAAGCGGCGCCTGCGGCAGCGCGGCCGTGGCCCGGCGGATGGGCATGTCCGGCAGACCGGAGCCCAGATTCTTCCTGGGCCGAAGCGGCGAACCGACCGGTCACAGGGGACCGGTCGACGCCGTCGGTCGGTTGAGGAGAATGAGCCGAAACAGAAGACGGCCTGTAGGAAGCAACTAAATCTGGAGTTTCGCTTCAACACCACGAATTCTCCACATCAAACCAGTCCCTCCAGACGACACCAGGTCCAGACAACACCAGGTCTGAGCTCCACTTAGCTGCTCTGAACCGACCGACTCCCGTCCGCACCTCCGGCGCAGCTGATCCGCCGCCCACTCGCGGTCCTGGCGACCCGGCCGGCCGGCGTTCCCGCCGTGCCGCCGTGCAAGTGGCGGTCTCGGTGTCTGGGAGATGCACAGCGGTGACTTTCAAAGAAATGCATGGGTATTAATCATGCCATAAGCAGAATTACAAGATGGTTTTTTCATGTACCCTTCCAAGATGGAGAGTAGAGGGGGGGCCCGCCTGGATTAATTTAAACAATTCATCTGACTACCTCCAGAGTGTTTTCAGAAAATTAATCTGGAGGATGTTGAGTCGGGTTTAATTTTTAGGTTGGGGGGGGTGGAATTAATCCAGGGGTACCCCAAGTACTCTACATATCTGAGCTCACAGCACTTGCAGAGGTCTCGATTAATTTTCTAGGTCTCAAGGCGCTGCAATACAGTAACAAATTCCCAATACAGTAAGTGCCGGAATACACACTCACTATAGATTTCCTTCTTCTAAGTATACATCAGGCATTTGACCGGCTGGCTACTTTCTATGTATTTGTTTTTAGTGTTGTTTCTTGTGTAATGGTCATAGCAAGGCTTCATTTGAGCACTCTCAGAAAATAATCCAGGGGTGGCTCCACTTCTGCATCACCTCATGATAAATATTCCTCACACCTCCACGTATCAAAATTCATCCACGGTACTCTCAACCTACAAATCTGATAGTAGGATTAATTTCCAGAATGGTTGTACGAGATTCATGACCAAAATCCTACCATCAAAAAAAAATCCAAGAAAATTAATCCATGGCTCAGTAGTCACCCGGGTTAATTACCCTAAGGCAGGGAACATGGTTTTTCCCAATGTTCGTATAGTCCTAATTGATTTATTGTTGATATAATCATCATTATACTAAGTCTATTACCAGCAACAGTGCAACAGTGACCGTGAATGTTACTGTAATACGGCCTTTCGAAAAAAAATGGTGATCCTATGTTACCGACTGCTCACACTCTAGAGGGGTCTTAGAATAGTGAGACACACTTCCACCTCCTGAAAGGATGAGTATATAGACCAAAACCCAACAAAAATGCATCACACACGCACCGGCACAAACTGGTGTGACTCGGCTAGCGGCTAGACTCGGCTATTGGGTACTGGGCGGAGGAAGCGGCGGGCTGCGGCTAGTGTGGCGTTGGAACTTGGTTGCACACGAACGGAGAAAGTCCCTGTTGTTTTTAGATCCGTCTAATGCGAGATTGTTTGAGCAAATAGACTGTAGGATAGGAGCAAGAAGCTACTAGGAGCAAAGGGCATCGCTACTAGTAGCAAGGACGCTACTAGGAGCTCCCGGCATCGCTACTAGGAACAAGAAGCTACTAGGGGCTCCTGGCCGTACGATGCTCTGCTCCAAAAAACGGCAAGTGGCACAAACTGTAGTCCAGTCTCTTCAGCCATCCCCGGAACATCATCTTTCCGTTTCACAAATCCATCGTCCAATGGTCCATTTCCAAGTATGCCAGATCCGCCATCTCAGTGTCATGGCTATAGTTCATCCGCCAAGGCTGGCGGAAGACCCCGTGGCCCTGGAGAAAACCCACCAGTGTTCGACGCGTCTCGCGCGTGGCGTGGCCGTCCCGCACGTACCCGCGGGTCGTTTCCCCGCAGGCCGCCGCTTGAGCCAAAGGTCCGGTGGTTGACATCGCAGCTTCAGAAATGACCAGTCAAATGCATCGCTGAATAGTCCCTCCCTGCTGAATAGTCCCTCCTTGTTCAAACTCTCGTTCCAAATGACTCGTTTTTGATGACCTTTGGAACAGCTTTTCCCAGCGGGGGGGTGAACGAACGATCTGAGGACTCAGAGGAAACCACAAGCCGCCACCACCGCCACCGCCGCTGCCGCCACCACCACGGCCACAACTTGCACTGGGGTGTTGAGAAACGCGGGTTCTATCTCAGAGGAAGTGACCAGGCACCCTAGTAGCGATAGCCTCCACCCTAAGAGCGATGGCCTCCAGGCTAAGCACCTAGAAGAATGCTTCAAGGGCTTGAAAGCTCTCCGAGGTCCCTATGAGGTTTAACCAGAGACCTGGTCTCTGGAGCAGTTCGGAACCTCCTCTTGTCGTCTAGACTCCAGACAGTGACTGGAGCGGAGCAGGGCACAGCAGGGCAATTGAGATCTTTTCGGGGAAGAGGGGTGAGGGGTCAGTTTGGCAGCATACGCCTCTTGGTTGTTCGGCAATTTGGGGAGTGTACCCTCCAGGGCCTCCTTCGAACCTCGATTCTGCCGCTCTGCCCGACTCTGCCCTCTTTGTCGTTCGGCTTCGGGTCACAAATCGGCGCGGCCGGAGAGCCTCAGGTCGGGCGGACTCGGAGACCACAACAAACCAAGCATTCAGATTGTACCCTGGAGAAGAGAACCAAAAGACATCATTGAAGATGCTTTCAAGTGGTACCTCTGGTGCTTCCCCCATGGTGGCACTTCTCTGTGGCGAAACGCCCGAGCCGGTCGTTGCCGTGGTGGATGCGAGATGAACTCGTTTTAGCTGCACACCGACCAGGAGGTCTGTCCACTCACTCGGTTGATCCGTCCAAATCACGCCTGAGCCCAGCACTAGCATGCACATTCATTTTGTGGGCGGCCTGGACACGGAGCCAAAAAGGAGACTCCCAGTCAGACATCTGCTGGGAGGTTGGGAGGTTCCCCCCCCCCCCGTTTCGCCACTGAAAAGGCCATTGGAATCGCACAACGTACCTCTCAACTGTACAAAGCACACTCATCTTTGGGTGGAGTCCTTGAGAGGCGTTGAAACTGAACTGCAAACCCAAGATCTCCAGTGATTTGCCAGCCAAGCCCCGAAAACTGGCCCAGGCTGTGCTGCTCATTGCAACCAAATGGACGATGCCAAGTTCATGATGGTACTCTGGATGTTTCAGACCTAAGATTGAATCATATGGAATAGAACATCACCTGCATTCTATGGACTTCACTTGAATGGGTATACACTGCACATGTATTCACTGCACCGTTTCGAATGTCTCGTTCCTTCACCCCACCGGGACCCGCACCTTCCTCTTCAAGATTGATCGCCTGAAGCACGTTGCCACGGGTGTGGGGACGGTCGAGTCGCTGCGCCCTTTGTTTGGGGCAAATGAACCTTTTGAAGGGACATCCTATGAGCAGTGTGCCAGAGGACAAAGGAATTCAAAGAAGAACACGGCTGTAGGAATCGGAGAGTGGGTCCTCCAAAAAGATCCCATCACAAAATTAGATCCACTGCATCGATGTTCTACTAGTTACTAGTTGATTGAGGGACCGATTTGCATGTTCTCATGTGAAGTCTCCAGTCAAATAGAGACATGATATGCTGAACAGGAGCTTGGAGAGCTTGGGGCCATTCTTTGCGGGCCCACGCCAGGCACATGGGAACGAGGAAACTCGTCATCAGATGGGAGGAACCAGAGTGCTTTGAACGGAGTGGTTGCCACCCAACGGAGCGTCCCGATGACCGATCCAGCTGCTTGGGTGACACCGTGCGTGACCGCCGGGCTCCGGAAGCCGTCACCGCCGCGAGACGCCGCGCGTCTGGCGCGCACCTCGGGATAACCGGACATATCGAGCCGGGCTGGATTTCGGCCCAGCTCCTTCTGCTTCTGCAGAATGCCTGGAAGGAGTGGCTAGACTGGGCCCGGCCCACGGAAGGAGTGGTAGGTGGCATGATATGGATCTTCCCACTCCATAACATCCCGGTGGATAGACCAAGTGCAAGTACACGAAAGTGTAGCTAGGGCGTGCAACCGAATGTTTGGTGAGATGCTGCTGATTTCCCGTTGCAACCGAGGGTCACACGCTTGTTATCTTTTCAGGGCTGTGCCCACCGTGAAGAAGGGAGTTCCAACAGCCTAGCGAATTTAGGTGAAGCATGTACGACGCAAATTGCCCAAAATGCATGTTAGATCTCCATGCCAACCGCTACTGCAAAGTAACACTTGAAACCGTTCTTGAGGTCAAAACAAACAGGTCGATCGTCTAGTGAATGCAGCCGTTTGACGGCTGCAGGCTTACGAAAACCACGGAAGGGGCTTCCGAACCACGGTTGCCCGAAGCCCAGCTTGGACCGGAGTCGAACTCGCTCGGGCCCAAGGAGTGGAGCGATGCTCGGGCCCGGGTCGGAGTCACCGCACGAGCACACGAGCATGGGCCCCGTGAGCACGCATCACATGTGACCGGAGCACTTCTGACAAGTCAAGGTGAAAAAACACGTCATGTTTTGGAGCAAAAGAAGAACAAAAAGAGCTCAGCTCCACAGAAACAACCAAAGAATCATTGACAAAATCCAGAGTCCCAGATTTGTCAGTATTTCTCGTGTCAATTCTTTTTGGGTAACGGTGTTCTGGACAACTCCTTTCTCGAATCCAGCGTGTCGTCTTCTTCCTTTGGAGACTCGGAGACTCGTCGGTTTTTCATGAGTTTCTCTTCGCCGAAACACCTGACACCCAAAAAACAAGAACATCCCATGGTCCGTGGAGACAGGGGTCTCCCTATAGAAATTTACCACAAAAACCGGGAAACATCGTCAACGAATCCCACCCATCCCACGCCGTGGTCGCCTGCCGGTCGGACCGGCACCTATTACGGAACGCCATACCCGTCGCCCGGTCCCGGTCCGGTCCCGGTCCGGTCCCGGTCGCCTCGAAGGAGCCGCAGAAAAATCTGCTCCACACCCACCGCCAAGTCCTGTGCGAAGAACGAAGGCGCATTGGTCGAGCTAGGACGCAAAACACCCTCAACTACTGTAGTGCTTGGCCAGGCATGTGCACCGCTAGTACAGGGCATCGCTACGAACGTAGCTTCTTGTTACTAGTAGTAATGCCCTTGTTACGAAGGTAGCGATGCACTTGTTACTCCGCGCACATCTCTTGATAGGCACGTTGAACTACTAGCTCAGTTGAGGCCAATTCCAAGCTTGGAAGGCAAGCTTTCAAATCAGCAGCAAACCTCATCGCAAAGTTTTTTCAATACGGGTTCCCTGCGCTCCATCCGCAGCTTGATCTCCCTCTTCAGCTCCATCCGCAGCTCTGCTATCTCCCCGTTTTGCAGTTGACTTTGGTGCTCTGCTGTTGCATCTGACATCGTCTTGCGGACAGCAACAGCATGATTCCATTCGCCCATTCGCACTCTTCGAGTCAATTTGGGCGATACATTCCTCAACGTCAGAAACTTCTCGTCTCGTGATGCCAAGCTTAAGCCGTGCTCTTCATGTGCTTCCTCAACCAGCTGAGTAGGATCCAGATGTAGATGGCTGAGCACCAGCTGTGACAGTGCAAAGCCGAAAAAAGATCGAGGGAACATCAACATGTGACATGTGTGTGTGTGTCACCCCCTGCACCAAAGGGTTCAATGCCACTGTTTCCACCACCACTACTCCATAAGGCAGGGGGACCAGGCATCTCGCTGCTAACCTGGTCTAACAAAGCTAGGCAGCGAGATGGGAAGCACTGAGAGACGTCTCGGTGTGTACCTGCGACCAACTTTTGCAAAAGCTGTCCAATCTCCTTTTTTGTTTCCATGGTGGTTCATGATACTTCCCCCAAACCTAGCCGCCGGTTTGATCGTCTTGCAGCCGCTTTGAACGCATGAGTGCCTGTGTGAACAATGTTGAACAATACTTTTCAGCGGACTTTGCCACCTTGCCGTTCCCTCACCTTCCTTCTCAACGTGGGAACTGAGTTCACTGAATACCAATGTCAGAGTGTGTTTCGCTCAGCCGTCCCACTCGGGTGCTGAGTGTGATCCCCGTCACTGGGGCGCGGAATTCATGCCGGAAATCGTGTAACTGAGCTTTTCCACCTTCACCGGAATTCACCACTGGCTCAACCTTAACTGAATTTCCTGCTTCCACGGCCGCCGGGCCAAAAAACGGGATTTGACAAGCCGCCGGGCTTAAAAACGGCATTCATCCCCCTTCAGGCAGGTCTCCCAACCCCCCCCCCACCGCGTTCTTATCCCGACCTAATTAGGGTAACACAGGGAAATGGCACTCGACACACTTGTGTGTCGGTGCCTTTCCCTTTGTTGTCCCTGTTCTAGTCTATCCTACCCGGGCGGTCTAAGACTAAAGTCCCGCTCCCTAACTATTGCATTTAATTCATTTCTGCCAAGTAATCAGTAACTCTAGAGTGCTAGGTATTCAGACACACACATGAACATACACCCCCTCCCTGCCCCCGGCTTTCCTTCTTGCGCTTTTCGTCGTTTGTTGGGCTTTCTCTCAGGCTTTTTAGGTTGCTCTTGAGGCTCGTTTCCCTACCCCAGTCAAGGGCTAAGTATTCACTTTTTCTACACCTACCTTTCCTTCTTGCCCTCTTAGCGCTGCTCTTTCTGTCTTTCTTTTCTTTTGTTTCTAAGGCTTTTTAGGTGACTATTGAGGTGTGTCACATGAGCGCCGCGAAGCGGCACAGTGTGTGTGTCACCCGCTCTACCAAAGGGTTCAATGCCACTGTTTCCACCACCACTACTCCATAAGGCAGGGGGACCAGGCATCTCGCTGCTAACCTGGTCTAACAAAGCTAGGCAGCGAGATGGGAAGCACTGAGAGACGTCTCGGTGTGTACCTGCAACCAACTTTTGCAAAAGCTGTCCAATCTCCTTTTTTTGATTCCATGGTGGTTCATGATACTTCCCCCAAACCTACTCTTCCCC